TTAATGGTTAGGGTTTCAGTTTCTCATCCCATTCTCTGTTCTCTTGGTTTTCCTTGTTTCTCGTGGGATTCTTCCATGTGTTTAGGACAAAATTCGTGTGGGGATCAATTCCTTGGGCTAAATTCGTGTGGGTCTTCAACTCAAGGTAAGGGGGACTTTACCCTATCTTGCTTGAGAATCCGTTTGTTTACCATACTTTGTAATGTGATTGAGATAGGATGTATGAACTTGTGTATTTTGATGGATAATGTGTGGGGTATGATATTGATGATGTTGAATAATATGAATGGTTAAAAGGTTTGTGTGGAACATAGTGTGTATAATGGAATAAATTACTGGATGAGTATTATGTTGAAATTGGTGTGTGTGTGTGTGTGTGTGTTGGAAATGTTGTGCGTCGAAGTAACGCGAATGAATATGGACACTTATGCCATGCGTTGTGAACGAATGTGGGCCTATGTGTCGTGTAATGTGAATGACTATGGGCATTGTGCTGTGTGTTATGCATGAATATTGTATGTGGTTGAAATGTGTGTGAATGAGGCATGTCAAATGTCGTTGTAATATTGCTATGAATGATTCAGCGATACACTAGGAGCGTGGAAGATGAGGATGATAGAAATATCTTGGAAAAGAGAGAGTGGTGGTAACACCAACAGTGAGCATAGGTGCACCACAGGCCACACACTCTCCTCCTGACTAGACCTCTGATCAACACCTTTGTCGAGTGACTCATGACCGCCCACGTGGTATCTATGAGGTGGGGGTAACCGACAACCATTCATGTGTGAAATTGTGATCACAGTGCCACAGTGAGCGTGGCTACATGCAGTGAGCGCACGTGTGTGCAAACTAGTTTTGTGTCATGAGTGCATCAGTTATTGATAAGTCTGTAATTAGGCCCTATTTTACAGCCCATATATTCATATTTGACTTATATTTTATTTAAGGTTTAAACTAATTTATATATTAGTTATACAGTTTGGTGTAAAGATGTCACAAGTGGAGTTTAGGTGCGTTTTGGGCCTAAATTGATGGAAGAATAGAGTTTCGCAGCAATCAGCACGCCCAAACCCATTCAATAAGCACGGGAGTGCTTCGAGCCCATGCACGATCGTGCTTAAGGCCTTGCATGCCCGTGCTCATCTGCGGGAAACCCAATTGTGAAGAGTCTTTAGGGAGACCTCAAGCATCATAGTGGTCACCGTTTTTACCTTGGTTTTTGCTCTGAGATACATCTCATCTCGTCTCTCTTACATGGGATATTTGACACACTTTTGGCGGGACTTAGAGCTTCGAGCAACTGTACTTGAAGACTGAGAACTCATCTCATTCTAGTTTGTTATTTCTTTTAATTATGGCTTTGTTTATGATTGTTTTAGTTCTTTTCTTTTGCATGAGTAACTAAGTCCATAGCTAGGGCTATGGGAACACTTCATGAATTTATGGGGTTTTCATGTTTGAATCTAAATTTGATTTCTGTTTCGTGATTAGATTTTATCCTATTGCGCTTCTCTCTTAAACTTAATTAATTATATCGTCAGGCGACCGTACCTCGGTTAATTAATAGATCTGTAGGGTATAGAATGAGACAAAGGATTAGGTGGACCAAACCAATCTTTCTCTTCTAATCGTTATTAAATTAACAAGTTCATAGGTTCCTTAAGCTTTCTTAAATTGATGCCTTGCATGACTATTGAGGATGTTAATTTAGAGAAAAGAATATTAATATTGCATGACCATTGAGTATTAATAGTATTTGTATGAATGATTAGTAATCACAAGGAAATCGAATTTAGAGTTAAACCAAAAAATAACATAAAGGATTGAATGAGAAAATCCATATGCCCTAGGTTCCTCTCCGATAAGTTTAACCAAGACGTTATTGTATTCCTTACTCTTAGTTTTATAATTGATTTTATAAATTCTTGTTTTAATTAATTTTGTATCTTTGAAGCTTAAACAATTGAATTAGAAAATTCTTAGTAATTGAAAATCAATCCTTATGTGACGATATTTTGGAAACTTAATTCAAGAACCCTTTATTACTTCTCGATGGATACACTTGCCCTCCAAACAGTTATGGGTTGAAATGAAATGCTTGATAGTGTTGCGTGTAGAATTATTAGAATTCCAAAATTTGAAGACCACAATGGATCTATAGGATATAGATCGTATATTTACAGCGGAATGGTATACAAAGTCAACAGATCTCAATCAATATAAAATAGGATTTATGGCTACACAAACTGTTGAGGGTAATTCTAAGTCTTGACTATGATTGAATAGAATATGTGAGAATATTGGTGGAATGTGCAAGGTGAAACTCTATGTTAGGCATGTGTGTTGGATAGTGTAGAGTACTTACCCTTATATTTATTTTTTAGGTGACCAAGACGATCAGCACCAGACTCAGTGAGGGATGGATGAAACTACTATAGGGCTTAGATTTTATTCTAAAAATGTGATATATTTGGATTGACTACAGTTACTTGATCAAAATTTGTAAACCTTTACCATTTTGAATATTTATTGAAACTATGCTTGGGAAATTCTATTTAAATTGAGAATTTTTATTATTCTCATTTTGTGAAATTTATTATTTTTTAAATTAAATTAAAGTGTTACATTTGTTAATTAAATAACCAATTGAAAGAGAAAAACTAAGTTTGATCCTCTTAAACCTTTGTCTCGTTTTACCCCCTATAATTATATTAATTACATTTGATATGGTCACTTACAATGCAATCAGTTATGATATATTAAGAGTAATCAATTCTAAATATATAGATATAAACACACTAGAACAAAACTAATCTTAAAAAAATCACAATTGTTATTAAACATAAAATTACATAAAGTGTGCAGAAGGTCTACCATGGCCCTAATTATAGATTTAGCTACTCAATGAAATAAACAAATAAAGTAATTATAAAAAAATTCATATCCATTTGAAATATAACTGTAAACCAGAGAAATCTCAATGGGAAAGATATGAGGAGAGTTCTTGTTTTCAAGATGCACTCATGATCACTTATTAGGACTCCAAAAAAGTCATTTTTTTCCCCACCCTTCATCAATGATTTCCACTCCCAAAAGGTTCAAAGAATTGTCTAAAGTCGGCTAGGCTAAAAATTGTTCTCACAAGCACTCATTGTTCCTTAAGTAGGATTCTCAAAACCCTAAAAAGTTTTTAAATTTGAATCACCATGCAAGCAGCACAGTCGTGCATAGCATAAAGTACAACTATACTAAATATATCAACTTAAAAAATATATGCATTTACTTGATTATATAGTTCTTGAAAGATTACATAATTATAAAATTAAAAATAAAGTAAGATAATAAAAAAAATTGATAAATTTTTTAAGTTGTATAAAAAATACTCTTTATGATAAAATTATTCTTATGATAAAGATGAATTAATTTAATAAAAAATTTATCTTTTTATTTGTATTATAATTATTTGTGTCAATATTTATCAGAAATGTTTGAATTCTAGATTTAGGTTATCATACAATATTGAAGTTAATTAATTAACTAATTTTTTATAATTAATAGTTGTAAATAAAAAATAATTTAATAAAATACAAAATAAGATTTTTTAAGTATCCGTACTAATTGTTATATATATTACTTTCTTAAAAAAATTATTTATAATAAATTCCAACCAAATTTTCTTAAATACGATACATAGTTAATATATTTATTTATTTTTCTTGTTTTTGTTTCTAAGATTTCATGACTATGAGAGAGTTTGTAAGGATTAAATCCAATCAATTTTAATTAACCTTTTGTTTATTTTTTAATAACTTTAAAATTATGGATTGATTGTAATTTATGTAGAACATTAAATGATAATTTTTAGTGAATTTTACATAGATTGTCTATTAAAAAAATTTGTAAAAAAATAACAAACATAGAATTGTAACTATACATTAGAATATAATAATTAATAAATATCATATAAATAAAAAATAAAAATAGAAATTAATAATTAAATTATCATTTAATTTATTAATTTATATATGATATATAATTAAATATTTTAATTTATCGTGTAACTAATATATTCTTTTTGTTATATTAATGTATAGTAAAGTAACTTTTCATATATTTGTTAATTTAAAGTAATTTTATCAAAAAAAATTTAAAATATAAATAGAAAATAAAAATATTATCTTAATTATCTATCTATATGTGATATATAATTAATCATTTTAATAAAATTTATTTTTGTTGTATTTTTTTAATCATAACAGTTTTCGTCATTTAAAAAAAATTGATATTTTTTTTTGGGTTAAATTTAATCAATTATCGTTATTTTATTTTTTTCGGATAATTTTTATTAATATTAGAAGTTACACATCTAATATTGGATTCGTTGAATTCGTGCAAATAAATTTCGAACTATTTAGCACTTCTGGTTTAACAATTATTGCATAGAACAACATTACATGATTGGTGATGATGCTCTTAGTATATAAATGTTGGGTTCTTAGAAAGTAAAAATAACGATCATATTAACCAAAACTTGGTTCCTTGAATGCCAATATAAAGAGCACTCATTTAACCCACATGCCCTTTTTGACTTGGCCTAAAAAGCCAACCCTTTCATCATGGATCTGTTCCTAAAACAACAGCACATAATTTTTTAACTTGCTACAAATGAAAAAGCATGGAGTCCGAGTCTACAAGGAACAAACAAAAGGGTATGCTTTCATCTAAATTTATTGAGGAATAAGGATCCATAAAAGGAAGGGTCCAACGTAATAATAATAGGAAAAGGAAAGATGCATTCAGAGAAAGCAACACAGCACATTGGTCACCCTCCATTTGGTGCCACTTAAGGTGTGTATGCCCTGGTCCCCAACACCGACAACATTATTAAACCATTCATCTTTATTCATTATTTTTTACAAAATACAATAATAAAAGTTAAATAACACAACAAAGAACCCAAAAAAGTTATTAAAAATGAAACAAGATCATATACCCCCATCCGTATCTGTACCAAATAATAATAGCAATAAAAAAACTATAATACAGAAATAAATAAATAAAAAAAAAAAACTCAATGATTTTCTATCCTACCAATAGTTAAATTATATAATTGTAGTGTGGAAAGCCCCATCAAAGGAAAAGTAAAGAGAGATTTCAGGCACGTCACTCATTGCCTTGTCTTTTGCAACCTGGATCCAATCATCTTGATCTCAAATTTCTTGATTATCCCAGCAATGTCCCTCAATGTAGTGTCCAAAACATAGGGAATCTTGTTATAGGTGAACTGTGTTGAGTTTACATGTATTTTACAAGATTCATTTCTTTCTGCTATGGTTCCATGATAGTGGAAGTATTTGATCCTTCCTTCAGTGTTGTGAGTTGTCTTTCCTGCTAGGTTCTGTGACATGTGCACCCCTGTTGCAAACAGGCTACGTGGTTGCACAGCATATTTTCTATCTCTACGGATGCCTGTGATTGAATCTCTATACACAAGCTTTTCGAAACCCCATTTCCTGCACAACTCATATCACAACTAACCATGTTACGGGCACATAGAGGGTATACAACTTAAACACTTATTCTTTTAGACCTTGTTACATGAAAAACTTATTCATATGCTTAGCTCTCATGTAAGGTTATTAATAACTACTTTAATTAAATCCAAATAAGCTTCATATAAGCTCTTAAAAATGCTCCCTAAGTGGAATATGATTCCTAAGTTTTTGTGTGTGGTAAATGTAATTAATAATAAGACCAACTGTAAAAGCAATGACAATACATTTGACAACTCAAGCACCATTGCTATATTAGTATACTTGCTAGCTTCGTTTCTTTTTCTTCAAAATCTGATAGCAATTCTGTGCAATAAAATCAAGCAACTAACAGTTGGACAGCTAGATCTAATTAATGGTTACTTATTATTATGATTAGGAATATTAAAATACTCTAGTCCAGTGCACACCTACAAAGTTGTCATGATCAAAGCTCACTAGTGGAGAGAAGCGTTATGCGTCTTAATCTAAAGATAAGAATGAAAATTAATCAAAATAAAAGTCAGGGAGGATTATCATCAACTATCAGCACGCTCGCTGATGCTTTTCAAAGAATTGAAATGATCTTGAACATTGTTACTCCGGCTATCTTATTGGAGAAGAAGACATTGATGATTGAAGAATGGTTTTGAATTTTCAATACGTGTTAAAAGACTCTTCTTGAACACGTATGATCAAATCACTCTCTTATATGCATATTAATTTATTTTTTAGTAAACACGGCTCTATTTTTTAATCAGAAAGAAATCATACAATTGTAGAACAAAGTAGTTCACACAAGCCCCACTTTCCCCTGTCCTGGAACACTAAGAAAAATATAATCAATACCAAATTGGCTAATAAATCCAAATGCATGCACGCCACAATAATGCAGTTTCTTGTCCTCTCTCTACCCAAGAAAATAACAGTTTCCAACCACTCAAGATCCGCAATAATTTCGAGAATCAAAATAGGCGAGGAAAACACAATGACATCACAATTCACATTAATGCCTCAAATGAACAGCAAAAGTAAAACACATTCTCAGCAAAACTAAAACCCAATTCATTGTTCCAATTGTTTGAGAAATTAATTAATTTCCCTCAAAATGCTATTTCAGTTTTGTAAGACAGAAACATTCAAATCGTGTTTAACTAAGTAACCAGAAACATTAAAAATCTCTATTGAAAAAAAAGAAAAACATTTACCTGTTAGTTTTGCCATAATCATCAGATAGGCAAATGTTTCTGCTCATAGGCATCTGTTCAATGGTGAATTGAGAATATTCAGAAAGCGAGTCAAGCACAGACTTAATAGTACTTTTTGGTGGCACATAAATGTACTCATCAACATCAAAAAAGAACATCCACTTGGCCATGAACTTGTATCTATGCAAGCAATCATTCACCACCATGAACTGGTTATGATAATACCCATCAAACCTTTCTTGGTCCCTAATATCCTGCAATGTCACATACCCCAGTTCCATCCACGGCTTCAACACCTCCAGCACCTGCTCATGAACCCCACCAGCATCATGTATCACAAAATGTGAACTTGGCCCAAAGAACCTCACATGATAAGCGATCCATTCTCTCACTCTCTGAGGGTTCAAGTTCCCAAACAAACAAGACCCACAATAGAAATACTCATACTTAGGCTTTGACACAAAGAGTGAAGCATTCACAGCACCTGGTGCTTCTTCAAGAACCTCCATTCTGTCTGTGACATTGAATTTGGTGTCACCAGCGCCAGAGGTAGAAGCATGAAGTACCAACTTGCCACCAGTGTTGTCCTCATTGATGGTGGTGTCATTGAAGGTGCAGTTAACAATCACCACCGTGTACACATGGCCATAGCCCCAATCAGGGAGCATCTTATAGCCAATTGCGGAGATGGGTTTTGAAGGAAAGGTTGAGTTTTTCACTCTGGGAACCCACTCACACTCGTAGGTGGGGTTGCCATAGACATGAAGAGGCTTAGAAGCAAGGCCAATAATGGCGAAGGTGTTGAGTCCTCCTCTGTATGTTCCCATGGTGATGAAGTTGTAGGCTGCGGAACCATAAGGGTTGAAGGCACGCTTTATGGTGCCATTGGAAAGGACTTGTTCATGCATGATGGAAGAAAGTGCTCTAACGGATAAGGAAGATGATGGTGGTGGTGGTGGTGGTTCTTGGGAGACTCTTGAGATGCAGAAGCGGAGATCAGAGGCTGAGATAGTGAAACGTGAAGGAATGAACTGAAGGAGAGTGGCAACACCACAGAGGAGTAGTAGAGTTGTGAGAAGAAGCTTCAGTTCTGCAGCATAGTTTCCTAGTGACCCAACTTTGGCCATTGCTATGTTATGCACGTACTCTCTCTCTCTCTCTCTCTCTCTCTCTTGAAATTCTCTCTTCTAGAGAGAGAGTGAGAGATGAGAAGATGGGGTTATGGATCGGGTAAAGTGTTGTGTTTTGTTGTGTCTTTTGGTTTTGGAAGCAGGGGGTGTGTCCTGTCTTATATTATGAAACTCTTGCTTGCAAAGGTTTAGGAGAAGAGTGTGAGTTAGGAAGTTAGGATTGAGAATCTGATTTATGTATGGAAAGAAAATGATTGCTGATGATTGAGGGTTCTATGTGAACTGTGAAATTTAGCCGTTCATCTAATTGATTTCTAAAGGAAAGAGAAAGAAAGGGTTGTCCTATACTAGGCATGAGTTATACTCGTTAATAAAAAGAGAGAAAATCTGAAATTAACAAACATAAAAAAAAAACTATGTTAAGGATTAATGTTTTAATTCAAAGGTTATACAAATTTTAACATTTCTTATGATGTGAAGGGACAACAACCCAAAGAAACTACATTGTATTTACCCTTTTGTTAATTGAGAACATCTATCATACCTGATAGTTATAAGAACACTTGCTGAAATATCAGTCCTCCATCTATTTCCCCAATAATTTTCATGTTTCTTCTTTATCTACTGTCTTAATATGTTTACGCTTATTCGTTCTTCCACCAAGGCTTCAATTTTCTTTTCTTTTTCTCAAACAAAAATCGGCTTATAATTTACAAGCATATTATTCATGTGTTGTACAGTAAAATTAAATCTTAGAAAAATTAAAATATAATTTTTTAAATTATATATTTTAAATTTTAACAAAACATGTATTATTATAAAATAAATAAAATATAAGATAAAACATATCTATAATAAGAAAACAATTTATATAAATTGTTAAAATAAAGTATAAGAGTATTATTAATTATAATATAATTAAAAAAATAATTATAATTATTAATTACTTTAGCATGAATATTTAAAATATACTTCAATGCAAAACTTTATAATATGATCTTTAAATTTAAAGTGTAGTTTGTCTTCTTTCTCACTTAACTAAGTTACTCTTTAAGGAGAAACTTTCATTTATTTCAAGTTAGAGATTGAAATAATAAATAGGAATGTATTTGTTTGATTTGTTTTGTATAAAAACTATTAGAATTGTTCATTATTCATTATCTCAGAGTGCTTTAAGGTGTGTAATTCATCAATCCTGGTATTTGAATGAATAAATTTCTTTTTTCCTTGTTAAAGTTTCAATCATTTTAAAAGAATGCTTGATCTTTAGAGGCCAATTTAGTTTCGCACTAACCATATTGATTGATTCATTTTCTTTTTCTCTCAAATTGGATGAAGTTTGACTCAAAATTTATGAAAATGTTTTTTCTATATATCTAGTGTGATTATGGTTGTCCTAATTTTAAGTCCTCACGTTTAGTTCCTATAGTTTTTCAAATATGTGATTTTGATCTCCTTAATTATAATTGTTCATATTAGTCCCTTTAGTTTTTCAAATGTTCAAATTGAATCATCTATCTCAAAATTTTATTCAATAATTAATAAAAATATAATTAAAAATATGACACTTATTGATTTATATAAATAAGTAAAAAAAAAATACAAAATATTCAAATAAAAATAAAAAATAAAATATAATAAAAGTCTCAATGAAGGACTTAATTTAAATATTTAAAAGATTAGAAGGATTAAATGAAGAATTAAAACTAGAAATCCAAAAATTACACATTTGAAAAATTAGAGGAATTAAATATAAGTAATAAAAACTAGAGGGACAAATTGCACATTCTAAAAATTTGAGGAACTAAAGGCAAGCAATTAAAACTAAGGGAACCACACTGGCGGAAAAATGGGCTTTTACGTCAGTTAAGAATGACTTTTGAGAATGATGAGAATTTTGTGTAGCAAGTGGACTGTATCGTTCAAGTAACAAAAATCGATGAGAACTGGGATATCATTTATAGGGAGCTCGCTAATTTGTATTAATTCTTAAAATATAGAAAATTTGAGCATATTTATAAAGGATGATTGATAAGTTTCATAATTTAAAGATTATAAAAACATAAATTTAAAGAAAACAAAGGTAAAGTAATCTTTTAACCAAATTAAACATTGTGGGGATTGAAATTCATCATTCACCTTCTTTATATTCTTTTGATTCAGTGATATATATATATATAGATTACAAAATCATAAATTCTAATGCAACGCACTCAAATCATTTATAATGATTCCTTAATTACAAAATCCTAAGATAATTCCTCAAATATTTAACGAATTATCCAGCATTAAGATTGAGCATTTAAAGCAATTGATATATGATATCTATTCCTAGAATAACAATATATCAAGTAATATCACTCAAATCAAGTTCTAAATCAAATTTTCCAATAAAAACTAAGATCCAGCATCGAGAAATTAGCGGCCAAGTAGAATCAAGCATTAAGAATAGAATAAAATTATTAGAATATATAATAATGCAAACATCTATATATATTTGAATCAAAAGAAATACATAAAGTTAGAAAATTACATTCAATCCCAAATGTAAGAAAATTAGCTGCTCATTGTAGCCATAACAACAAAAGAACAGAAGAAATCTGAGAAATCTAGCTTCAAAATTGTTTCCACAAACTTCTTCACCTTCTCTCTCTAGTTTCTCTCTCTAAAAGTATTTAAAATGGTAGAAGATAAGTTACAAAATGTGTGAACCGCCTTAAATAGCTTTCAGGATAAGTGAATTTTTGTTGGAGTGGTAAATTCTCGCTCTAGCGAAGAGAATACTTCATCTTGAAGAAAGATTTTCTCGTTGTAGCGAGAATGTAGTGAGAGGATTCTCGCTTCTGCGATAACAAGGCTCCAAAAATCATTGCTCTTTGTGCCTTTCTCACTAGAGCAAACATTTCTTGCTCCAGTGAAAATGATTTATAATAGCTCCTAGTTTTTGTGGTCTTCTCGCTCCAATGAAAGAATTTTGCTCCATGAGGGGATTACAGATTCTTCTTTTCTTCTCAACTTCAACTTTTTGCTTGTTTCTTCAAAACTCTTTCAATCTTTGCTCTTCTCCAAACTCACCTACAAAATGAATAATTAGGGATCAAATGCAACTAATTTTCATTATGTTCACAATTTATATATAAATGCAAAAATTCTAGATTTTAGGGAGTTTCTAACAAAAATTCATCAAATTCCACATCATCAAGTGATAGGAATCCCTTTGCTGAAATTCTGGAAGAGGACCTTTCTTGGATAAAAAAATGCACAAGGTTTGGAGAACGTCATTTACGAACTCAGAACTATATCTCAAGTTATAGAACTCGAAATTGAATGAGACCAAAACAAGGTGAATCCTCACATTTTAGGAAGTAATTTTGACTCAAGAATCATTGAAAAAAGATTTGTAGAACGAAAGTTATGAGCAGGACTTGTTTTGGACAAAAATTGGGAAATTTAAGGTTTTAAGGGAAACGTGGTGGTGATAATGGGTGGCGCCACTTTCAGGGAGAAAGATAAGCCACAAAGACGCCACAAGGGAGGTGAAAATCCCTTGATAAGTCTTAGACTTGGTTCAGCCAAGAACCCGGGAGAATCACTCTCACAAAAAGTTTTGTTTGATAATCCAAATATACTTTCACTGGTGTAAATGTGAATACATATAGGGGCTGCCACTTAGTAGCCACAAAACCTTAAAAGTTATTATGGGTCAGCTAGCCCATTAAAACATAATGAAAATAAAAGAAATAACAATAACTAGAATTTATTGGGCTAAATTTGTATGCTCATATGGCAGCCCACTTAAACTTATGACAAACTTTATTTAGTAGCCTACAATGCTTTTAAAATAATAAAAATACTAGCAGCCTTCTTGCATCAAGGGTCTTCAATTGGAACAATGCAATGAACCAATTTAGGCTTAAGTCCTCCAATTTAGGGGCAACTTCAAGAATTGTTGCTACCACTTGGTTTAGAGTCTCCTTAGCCTTCTTAGTTCTTGCTCTAGTCATAGGTCTCCCAAGTCCTTCAAGTGTGTTGTTCCTCTTGTCCTTAACCATGTCCTCATCATCAAGGTTTAAAACACTATCAAATTAATTTAAACTTGACACTTATCAAACATCAGTTGGTGAACTGATATAAATACAGGCGATGTAAAAAATAAGGAGATTTTACATCAGTTAACCAACTAATTTAGATAATATACATATTCTAAATTGAATTTTTAACCAACCGAACTAATGTAGAAAGTATAATTTTCTTTAATGTTTGTCAATGGCGTCATTGTTCTTCCGACAACTTAGCAAACAATTTTTCAATAGTGTCAATGTTCGTTAATGTCAATAGCATTAATTTTCATCGTTAATATTTACTTAAGATTTCATCTTTGTTAAGTCTATAAATGAAAAATATGTAGTGTCCATCGTCAATGTTTGTCAATATTTATTCAAGATTTTATCTTGTTGAGTTTGTAAATAAAAAATATGCAGTGCTCGTCAATGTTATGTTACCAATGAGTTAATAGAGAAAAAAAGATAGAATGAAGTAAGATAAAATCATTGATATACCTAGTAAGAGTTTGTGTTCGTCAATGGCATAGCTGTGCAAAGTTTGAGAATATAAGTAAGAGTTCATGTTTGTCAAAGGCATAGCAAAAAAACCTAGCAGAAGCTTGAGAATGTAAGTAAAAATTCGTATTTGTCATCTCCAATTTGAATTAATTTTACATCAGTTCCAAAAATAACTGACGTAAAAAGTACTTTTTAGGTTTTAGAGTTTAAAAACATAGTTCCAAAAACAACGATATAGAAAATACTTTTTATATCAGTTACAATAATAGCTTATGTAAAAAGCTTTCTAATTTCTTGCCTTTATAATTGTACTTTTTATATTGGTTCCAAAAATAATTAATGTAGAAATTACTTTTTATATCAATTATTTCTACATCGAATATTTAGCAATTGATGTAAAAAGTTCTACAATTTTTTACTTATATATTCATAAACTTTGAAGGGACATAACTTTTAGCACAAAACTTTGATTTATACAAATTATATGTTTATTTTATATAACTTTTTGAGATCTATCCAACTCTAATAGGAGCTTTGGACAAATTCTTTTTCCAAAA